GTCGGTCAGTTTTGGAAAATTGAAAATGTGTTTTAATAGAAGTAGAGAAATATTGATTTCATGCTCCCATGCCAAATCCATTCTTACTTTGGTAACTCATATATGTTGTTCTCTCTCAGAAATGTGTTTCTTTTTTTTTTGGCTGCACCATGTGGCATCTGGAACTTTCCCAACGAGGTACTGAATCTGTGCCTCTGCAGTGTAAATGCAGAGTCTTAACCCCAGGACCACCAGGGAAGTCCATGTGTTTTGTTCGTTGTTGAGAAAACTGCATTAGAGCTCTGCTTAGGTGTCACTTATTCCAAGAAACTTCTTACCTACCAGTCCTCATGAGTTAACCATTTCCTTCTCTGTATCATTTCTGCACTGTATGCATTGTAAGTATGTCCCCAACACACATGGCTGTCATCTCTGGGAGGGTGGTGACCAGTGGCTTACATGTCAGGAACCCCAGCCCTGTGCCTAGGGCTGATACGTACCAGGAGCTCAATAAATATTTAACCTTGATGAACTTACAGGATGTTACTGGAACTTGTTTTCTAATTTGTAACTTCCATCTGTCTCTCTATAGATAGGTATATATTCTCTCTCTCTTTTTATACACACACACACACACACACACACACACACACATGAGATGGGGAGAGAGGATAAGAACTCTGATCAAAATGTCTGCCTTTGGTACTTGTGAACTGTACAAACTTAGTCAAGTTATATCATCTCTTTATTCCCTTATCTGTAAAATGGGAACAATAATGTATCTGTGCCTAGAGTTACAGAGGTAAATGAATTAATACTTGGGAAATTTGTAGAGCCAAGCCTGGCCCATAGTAAACATTTGGTAAGTGTTAGCTACCCTTATATATAAGAAACAGTATTTTAAAAACTCTGGCTTTAGAGTATGAAACTTTGAGTTGGAGACCTGGTTCTACCACTTACTGGCTATGCCTTTGGCTGCATTGAAAACTTGAGTCTATTTCCTCAGTGGCAAAAATGGAAATAACCCTGGCATGGATCTCATGGGGTTCAGAGAAGGAGATGAGGAGAAATCAGTCATATGTCCTCAGTGAATATTGTTGCTGTTACTATTCTGTGGGGCTTTAAGCTTATCAAAGCGGTTATAAAAAATGAGTTTCTTGTGTCCCTCATAATCATCCCATGAACGAGGGCTGATGGCTTTCTGACCGTTTTACAGGTGATGTGACTGATGTAGGCACTGAATGACTTGCCCAGGTTGCTCAGTTACTCCACAGAGCCAGGAGCAGGATCTGCATTTCCTGTCCCCTCAATCCATGTTCTTTCCATTGACCAGGAGAGTCATGCCCATGGAAAGTGGCTCCCGAGACTTGACTTAGAAATGCAGGGGCAAGAGGACAGTTAAGGTGTGACAAGAGGCACAGTGTGTGACTGTTTCCCAGCGGTGAACCAGGGGCTGCTGTGTCTTTGAGGGTAGTGTTAAAACACACCATCCTCATCTGCACACGGCCATAATGGAGGAAGACAAATTAGTAAGGTCTCCTTCATTCAGGCTGTGGACTCCAGTGTCCTCCCAAAGCTTTATTATTAGGCCTACTAGGGCCTTCCTGACTCTTGGAGGCAGTCAGCAGAGGGGCTGAGGAAAGGATAGGGCCCAGGATTGGGGGTTCTCTGTAGGTTTGAAGGAAGGGAAATGGTCTCCAACAGTGTCAGTGATGAAGCATTTGAGGGTCTAACTTTTATTATAATGGGCCCTGCAGGTTCAAAAGAAATACATGTGAGACAGCTGATTTGCCTCATCGGGTCACTGAGCTAAAAGAATTGCAGTTTTGCCTTTGTTCCTTTCACTGACAGCTGTTTCACCTTATATGTGCTGGGTTGCCTAATGCATGTTGAGCTAATTACGAAACCAATGAGAGGTTGAGAGATGCTCTCCTGCACGCCCCCCATACCTGATAGAAGACTGAAGGCAGAAGCCAGACCTTAAGGAGTTAGGAAGCTCAGGGGTTCCTACTGCCCGTTCACCGATGGACGCCCCATTGCTGCATGCTGCCTCGTGTCTTCTTTGTTTTGTTCAAACTCATCTTCTTCCTCTGGAAGTGAAAGTGTGGGTGTCTGCCAAAGTTCAGCTTTCGAATTGCTTGTTAAAATATCAGGAATGGACTATTGCCTCAGGAGCAGACTATTGCTGCAGGGCAGGGATCTGAGAGCCCAAGAAGCTGTAGGAAAGGTGGTAAGTCAGCTTCCACGTAACTCTGAGTGTCGGCTGGAGAAGGGACTGACTTCTAGGCACCGTCAGCCAAGAAGATCACCAGCACTGGGGTGGAAGAAGGTGGCAGGTGGAAACACCCGGCTCCATAACCAGCACAGAGCAGGTCGCTGCTAAAGCAGGGCGGTGGGCATTGCTGCCGAGGCCTGGTCTCCAGGGCCGTCCCCTCCTGTTTCCACGTAAGTGTCGAGGATATTGGCTCTGGTGCCTCCTTTTTTGGGGTAACGGGGAAGGTGGTGGCCCTCTGTTCTTAGCTTTGATTTCTTCCACAAATTCCTCCCACTTTGTAGATCTCAAAGTGTACATCCGTGGGCTGAGGGCACTGGGTTAGTGTAGGAGCTTTGAGGTGAAGGCCACAGATAGGCTGTAGGTGGGCCTGTGAACCCCTTAAAGCTGTGACCAGAATTGTTCATGCATGTGTTCTGAGAAGCAAGCTTGACTCCCAATTTGTGGACTACTGTCCATTGTAAGTCTCTAATGCCTCCAAGGGCTTCAGTGTTCTGCCACATCAGAACTCAGTGTTCCCCAAGTTTGGTAAGCATGCATCTTGGGGTTCACAAGTTGCCTGTAGTTGGTGAATGGGTACATGTTTGTTTCATTAATGGTTATGTGATTCTTTTAGTGTTAGAACAAAACATTAAAGCTGACATTTCATGAACATTCTTTGTTGGAAGGAGGCTATGTCTTGCTTTTAGAAAAGGTGACTTAAGTGTGAAATGAGTAACAGTATTAAGGCAGGTCGATGCTAAATTTTGAGGAACAATGATTCATCCTGTCAACTGGTACAGATAGAGGGGCTGAGTCTCAAGGAAGCAGAGAAAAGGCCGTGAGGAAGTTGATGGTCAGCTCAGGACAGGAGCCTGCTGGACCTTCTGTCTGTCCTGCTACCATGATTCTCTGTGAGTTGGAGAAGTTTCTGTGGCTTTCTTGGGTCTCCTCCAAGAACCTGGTCCCTATCAGGCCAGGAATCCTACCCAGAGAGTTTCCACCAGGACTTATATTGCAGGAAAGATAAACACAGAGGAAAAAAAGCACGTCTTCCTCCACACGCTCTCTCAGTTTTGAGTTGTACTTTTTCATATTTTAACGTTTCTGAAATTGAGCTGCATCTTACAAAATTGTTCGCTTAAGTAGATAGTTATTTCCTTGCCAAAAAGCTGTTATTAAGTAGGTAATAGCTTAGCATTGAAAGATGATTCTTTCACTATTTTTCTCTCTTCCAAAACAAATTACACTTGAAAGTTGGGACTTCTAATAAATATACAAAGTGAAAGAAAATTTCTCTTTAAAAGGAAAATCCTCATCTCAAGCCATTTGCTAGTCACTAAATGCAAGCCCGGGGAGATGAGTCATGGTGACAGGAATGGGGACTCGGAGCCCAGGCCCGGCCTGGAGAACCACCCACTTCCTCCTTGAGCCTCCGTTTCAAATTTCTCCATCTTTTGAATTTACTTTGTCTCCTTTCCAGAGGTGCGTCACAGAGAAACTTCTGGAAGTTACATGTCTGAATCCTCAAGGGCAGGGGGCGGGAGGGGGGATGAACCAGCCTCTCCAGTTTCAAGCAGACTTCACTTTGATGTCAAAGCTTCTTGATTCCCCCATATTCCATTTCTGCAGGAGAGCCCTCTGGTCTGTTTTTCTGGATGGTAAACTTATGGTGGGTCAGAAGCACTTGAATAGCCTTTACAGAGCTGCGTTTTCCATTGGCTGTTTTTGTTCTCGCTGTAGTGGAGATAGATGGAGTGTTACTCTGGGTTACAAAACCCAGGGAAGGGGGCGGGGGCTGCTTTGGGAGATACATTTTCTCAGGGAGGTGCCCCAGCCCTCAGCTTACTGCTGCATTTAGAAGCCAGATCATAAACAAGGACTCGGCCTTTAGAAGTCAAGGGAATAAATAAGCTGGAAAAGGGTGAAGGGAAAAAGCCAAGGAACGTGTAAGTAGAGGATTATATGGAGCCATTTAAAATGACAAAAAGCGAGAGTAACAAAGTGACAGATGGAATGTGGCCCCACAGGGCCCTGCCAAGCTAACTCTGAGAAGCGAAGTGTTCTCTTGATGTCCCCTGAAGCATTCATGGGGCTTCCTGGCCAAATTCTCAGGCTGTTTCTATGGCGCTTACAAAAAAAGAATATAGCACTGTTGATGTGGTCCTTTCCCCTTCCCATTCTGCATCCTCTTTGCAGCCTTGTGAAATAAATCTCTGGCTCAAGTGAAATCATGAAAAAGAAAATGGGGGGAAAAAAAAAGAAGTGCTGTAGGGACAGGGGGGTGCTGACTGGTTCTGATTTGTCACAAAACAAGGAGAATTTCTCTAAGAGTAAACAGTGTTTATTTTTCGTTGAATTTTTTTTTCAATCAAATGGAATTGCTTAATTAAAAAAAACTTATCTCTTTTCTCTTTAAATACTACAGACAACCTCATTTTATCTCAGCAGACACCTAGAAACAAAACACTGGACCCACCAGAGAAAACGGGGCAATAAGAGCATCAGAAATTCAAGTCAACTATGGAAGAATTACTGTTAGCTGGCAGCTCTCGATTCTAAACAGAAGTGTCCCAGAACCTACTGGGTTTGACAAAAGTTTCTTAGAACTGGGGATGTGGGAAGGTTGGACTCCATGGACTTCTATTCCAATTGTCTCCTGCAGAGGGAAATTAAAAGTCGATGCATCAAATGAACACCCAAAGAAACATTTAAAAACGTGTTTGACTAGTATTCAGTATGTGAGATTATTAAGTAATAACTTGTCCTCCTAGTTAACCTTGTCCTGGAATATATATAGGTTATTTGTAGCCGCCACTGCTATAATATTTTCTGAAGGATGCCAAGCTGTATGCAAGATCTTTTTGCTAAAGTCCAGACTGTCGACACTGATCTCATCTTTTCTCCGCTTGCCCCCCACGCACACTTTGCGTGGTTTTAGGATAGCTCGGGGTTTGCTGTTTTCCCTCGAGGCCTCAAGGGTAACATCGCGCTTGGTGTTTCGGTCAAACATCCTGAAGAAGTTGTTGTAGGAGCCTGTCATGATGACACTGCAAGGCAGAGAGGAAACAGGGAGTGACTCAGTGCCATGGACATGGACTTTCTACAGCTAAGAGACCAAAAACCGCAACAGGGTTTGTAGTGTGACTGTTGACTTTAGAAGCGTTAAGGAAAACAAGCTCTCGGGCTGGGTGAAGGGTGATGATAGCCCTCCTCGTTATTTATCAATAGATTCCTTTAGGTTATTTAGTTCCATAAGTCAGTCTAGTGGTTTTAATGATCCCAGCCCACCTCCTTCACATCAGGATTCTGAGGCTGCAGTCAAGTCATGAGAGTAGGAACACTGAAAACAGCTTTCCTTGTATCGTGTTCATTTAGAGCATGGCGGTGGTAGGAGGGACTGTGCTGCCCGACTGATAAGGCTTTCTCACATCAGTACTGAGGGATGCTGACATCGTGTCCTCTTCCTGCTACGAACTAGATTGACATTCTGCCTTTTCTGAAAACTTATCTAAAAAATGGATCTCATCATAGTCTTGGGAAGGAGTAAACAAAAATCAGAATTTTTAAAAGGATGTAGGATGAGGAAATAAGCCTTTGTAGTGGACTGACAGATGGTTTCCTACCCTCTTACAAGAACTATCCATTCCTAGGAGAATCTCCCATTGATGATGAGAGCAGGGCGTACCAAGAGCCTCCCAGAAGCCACGGACCAACTCTACTTAATGGTGACAGTTTTGACAGGTGACATGCCAAGGGAAACATAATGTCCCTCGAGCAGCACCCTCTTATGGCTGACCCCGGGAGAGGTGGGCTTGGCCTCATTTGTGGGTGAGGCTCTGACTGGCTGGTTAGGATGGGAGAACGCCACATCTCGTTGTCTTGGGTTAGAGGAAGGTGAAGGAAAACCGACAAGAGTGAGCCACGGCCAGGGGGCTGAGTTTTGGGGTATTTGTTAGTTGTCCCGGAAATTAATCAAGGGCTAGATTTTGTTACCCTGGCCTGGGAAACTGATGCCATGAAATGTGTGTATAGGGTGAGCAATTGTTATCTCATCACGAGGGGTGCTGAGTGCTTTACCCCTACCCTCACTTCCTTTTCCATCATTCCATGTTAAAGGATTTACACAGGAGGAAAAGTGAGTGCGTGTATGGTGTCACACAGCCAGTAAGTAGCCAAGTTGGGCCTCCAGCCCACATCTGCCAGACTCCGGGGCACAAGCATTAAGCCACTTGGCCTTACTGCTTCCCACGCACTGACCTCTGCTTCTATTACCACCACCCGACTTGTTTTTAAACAGTAAGAGAAAGTCTTTTTTTGGGAAAAAAAAAAAAGTAATCTCAACCTTATCTGGACCAAGAATAACATTTACTCGGTTATGGAAAGAATGTTCATTTTAGGATTTAAATTCTTCCTCTTGTCTCTACTACTTACAGTGATCTGCCCAAGCTCCTGAACTAGTATCTGGCTGAGCCTCAGTTTCCTCGGCTCTAAAATGGGGACAGTGAAAGTAATCTTGATGGATTGTGGTCAGGATTAAAAAATCACCATGTGTGTGAAAGTACCTAGAGTAAGGAAAGGTTTTGAATCTTGGTTCAGATAGAAGGGGAACTTGGACGATAATAACCACAAATATTTTAAAAAATCTATTCATAATGAACAATGAATAAATGACCAATGGAAATGAAAATAAACAAAATAACAGGGCAGGGATAACTACTTTTCCCCTGAAGGCCTTTGTTCAACTAAGTAACAGTTGCTTTGCTCTTGGCCCTCTGCCCTCCACCAACTGGGTGGTGTGATCTGGGTCGTCTACCATGCGGTGACTCCTCCTAGGCCTGCTGAGTGGAAGGCTGGTTTTGGATCACTGGCTCCAAAAAACCCAACAGGGGTCAGAGAGGTAGTCTGTGCTCACTAGAAGCTCGCCTCTCTGAATGCTTTGCAGTGATAGAATTTCCCTGCTTTTCAGTATGACTGCTGGTGCTGCCTTCCTCCCTGGTAGCCTGTGCTGGCTTCTCCCGGAAATCACAGCAGCATCTATTTGTCAAGCCAAAAAGAAACTGCAGGGAGGTACTAGGAAGTACTGTTGAAATCAAAGGCCTCAAATAGTCATAAATCCCTTTGAAGGCACAGGATAAATGAGGCTGATGAGAATTCAGTTCATGACCACCAGGCCTTAGGCCAGTCTCTACTAGTAGCCTCGAGGGATAATTTCCCATCCAGACAGCACGCTTTACAGTCACTGGAATGGTTCATCCTCAAAATTTGCCAGGGGAGCTTCATTTTAGGCATATGGACCCAGCTCTGGGAGGGTCTTGCCTGTATAAGGTAGGATTTTTGTGAGGCTAACGGGTCACCTGAGCCAGTTCTGAAAGAGGAGTCCAGGGTCTCACCCACCCCCTGCTCCTTTCCAGACCTGACCTCGAGGTCACCCGGTGGGCCGCATGGTGCAGCCCTGCCAGGCCTCAGGGCTGATTCTGATGGCTCTTTGGTTGCACCCCCTTAGGACACATGGCCCAGGGTGGGTGCAAGGAGACGGACCCCATGGAAGGTTCCCAGCCACCAGACCTTTCTTACCTGTCTGACCCATTCCACACACACTCAAATTTATCAAAAATGCAGTCATTTTCATAGAGGGAGCACAGCTTGCTGCGGAGGTAGTCATGAACCTGGAGGGGCAGGGAAAACACATTAAGAGGGTGTTAGTTATTAACATTTAAAAAAATGATTCCTCTGTGAGAAGCTCCTCTTTGGATGGGAGCTGTTCATTCTTCCAGTGCAAATGTGGCTTGAATCAGATAGTTCTGGCTCTTGGCCCAGGCATGGCCCTTCTCAGCCTTGGGACTTTAAGATGGTTTGGTGAGCTGTTTCCATGGCACATGTGGATTAAACAAACTCGCTTACACAGATGGTGGCATAGAACAGAGCCCAGTAAGCAGGGGATTCCCATTTTCTAAGCCTATTTATTATTTACTTTTGGTCAGTATCTTTTTAAAAAATTAATTTATTTTCTGCCATGCAGCGTGGCATGCGAGATCTTAGTTTTCCAACTAGGGATCGAACCCATGCTCCCTGCAGTGGAAGTGCAGTCTTCACCACTGGACCACCAGGGAAGTCTCTTAGCCCATTTAGACGACACCATTCATTCAGCCTTTCACTCAATGAGTATTTGTTGAATTCCGGCTCTGTTTTTGGGATAGAGCCATGAACAGAATACCCTTGGGGTGCTTTCCTCCCAGTGCTGGGGAAGAGACTGTGCAGCCAAGGAAGTACATAAGGTAATTTTTGTTTTGGATTTTTAAATTTTGTTAACTGGAGTAGAATTGCTTTACAGTGTTGTGTTTCTGCTGTGTGACAACAAGTATAAGATATTTTAGATGGTGACAAAATGAGGACAAAAAGAAAGTGGAAAAAGGGTAGTGGGAGCCCTGGGGGTTATTTATACAGGGCGAGTGGTCAAGTTCACCTGAGAAGGAGACATTGGAGCAGGAACCTGGAGGGAAAGAATGCCTCTCAGTGGTGTCCGGGGAAAGGCTTTCCAAGCGTAAAGGAAAGTGTTAGTCAGCCAGTCGTGTCCAATTCTTTGTGGCCCCACAGACTGTAGCCTGCCGGGCTCCCCTGTCCCTGGAATTCTCCAGGCAGGAATACTGGAGTGGGTTGCCATGTCCTTCTCCAGGGGATCTTCCCGACCCAAGGATCAAACCCGGGTCTCCCGCACTGCAGGCAGTCTCTTTACCACTGAGCTACTAAGCATTGAGAAGAGCGAATGTAATGGCCCAGAGGCAGGAGTCCTGGAGGCAGTGGGGTGGAGGGTGGCAAGGAGCAGAGTGGGGGGCCTCCGCATGTGCCAACCAGTGCCCACAGGCCCCTTACTCTGGGTGATGTGAGCAGACGTCACGGGAAGGCTGCTGCGCCTGTTGTGTTGTGACAGAGGGTAAGCCTGCAGGGCCACAGTGAGCAGTGCTGGGAGGTGGTCAGAGTCTTGACGAGTTTGGAAGGACAGTTGATAGGACTTGCAAATGGAGCTGCTGTCAAGTGTGGAGGGGAAAACCGGAGTCAGAAGTGGCTCCTGGATCATGCTTGTGAGCAGGCGGAAGGATGGAGTGGCCACGTTCGCTCTGGGGTTGGGTAATTTGGCGATGTCTGTGCAAGCGGAGAACACTCGGCAGATGCTGTTGTGCACACCGCAGCCCTGGGCTGCGTGGCAATCCTCTTCTGGTTCTATTTTTCAGTGAAATAAGAAGCAAGGTTATCGGCTGAGAGTGAAAAAGGCCAGGGCGGGGAGGTGGTTGGCAATAGTGCTCGATTCCTGGAGGGCACTGAAGGCTGCTTGAAGTTGTTGAATGTGAATTTATTTTTTAAAACGTTTTATTTATATATCTATGCCAACCTTTGCTGTGGCACTCGGGGATCTTTAGTTGGGGCATGCAGACTCTTAGCTGTGGCATGATCTAGTTCCCTGACCAGGGATTGAACCCCAGCCTCCTGCATTGGGAGTGCAAAATCGTAGCCGCTGGACCAGTAGGGAAGTCCCCAGATGTGAATTTTATTTATTTATTTATTTTAATTGGAGGCTAATTACTTTACAATATTGTGGTGGTTTTGCCATACATTCGCATGAATCAGCCATGGGTGAACATGTGTCCCCCATCCTGAACCCCGCCCCCACTTCCCTCCCCATCCCATCCCTCAGGGTCATCCCTATGCACCAGCCCTGAGCACCCGGTCTCATGCATCAAACCCGGACTGGCGACCTGTTTCACACTTGATAATATACATTTCAATGCTATTCTCTCAAATCACACCACCCTCACCTTCTCCCACAGAGTCCAAAAGTCTGTTCTTTACATCTGTGTCTCTTTTGCTGTCTCGCATATAGGGTCATCGCCACCATCTTTCTAAATTGCATATATATGCATTAATATACTGTATTGGTGTTTTTCTTTCTGACTTACTTTGCTCTGTATAATAGGCTCCAGTTTCATCCACCTCATTAGAGCTTATTCAAATGCATTCTTTTTAATAGCTGAGTAATATTCCATTGTGTATATGTGCCACAGCTTTCTTATCAATTCGTCTGCTGATGGGCATCTAGGTTGCTTCCATGTCCTGGCTGTTACAAACAGCGCTGCGATGAACATTGGGGTACACGTGTCTCTTTCAATTCTGGTTTCCTTGGTGTGTATGCCCAGCAGTGGGATTGCTGGGTCGTATGGCAGTTCTATTTCCAGTTTTTTAAGAAATCTTCACACTATTCTCCATAGGGGCTGTACTAGTTTGCATTCCCACCAACAGTGTAAGAGGGTTCCTTTTTCTCCGCACCCTCTCCAGCATTTATTGTTTCTAGACATTTTGACAGCAGCCATTCTGACTGGTGTGAGATGGTACCTCATTGTGGTTTTGATTTGCATTTCTCTGATAATGAGTGATGTTGAGCATCTTTTCACATGTTTGTTAGCCACCCAGATGTGAATTTTAAATGAGTCTGGTCAGCATGGTTGGGTGTTTCTCTCCAGCTGCATTCAGCAACTCAGGTGAAGATGGCAAGCAGGCAGATGATTGAGGCTTGGAGCATAGTAATCTGGGTGCCATTTTCAGTTCTTCCTGAGATCCGTTGTGGGGAGTGGTAATGACATTAGGCATACATAATATGCCAGCTTGTTATTATTAGCCGGGCTCTTTATCCATAAGATCTCATCTCATCTCTAATAGCATCTTAGGTTGTAGGTACTGTCATTCTCTTCACTTTAATGAAGCATGAACTGCAGGGTATGACATCATGTGTCCAAGATCACACAGCAAAGGAAATGACAGAATGGTAAATGAACAGGGATCTAGGTTCTGGAGCACCTGCTTCTGCCAGCTCTAGCAATCTGCCTCCCACTCGCTCTGCCTCATTGGCCTCGCCTTACATAGAGTCTCAGTCCTAGACAGCTGTGATGATGCACTGAAGTGAGGCCAAGAGGCAGACAGAATTGGGTGAAGGCAGAGAGGTGTTATGGAAAGCACAGTTTGACTTGGTTTAGATGAAGAGTGATGGTTCATGATCTCTTTTTCTGTAGCCTGGGCCCCTTTCCTCCCTTGCCCCAGGGTTCTGTCAGATTTTGAGCTCAGAGTCTCAGCTGTGTGCTCAGCCCTGGGCAGAGGAATGAGGTCAGATTCATTCCACGTTCCATTAGATGTCTGGGGTATTTGAAAAGCTCTCTTGAGTTATTTGGACAGGGTAAGGATTTCTAACTCTGCAAATTAATTTCCTTCACCTTTATGCTCGTGTTCCCAAATAGCTCTGGGCCTTTTCAGGGTATCTGCTTCAGGGTTATGGTGACAAGTGAATCCATTGGCAGCTGGGCATATGGCTTTGTTAGATGGGGAGAATAAGAGTGAGGCTTGTGTCCTAAGCTTCAGAATTCTGCTATAAATTAACTCACTGTCTTCCCTTCCCCTCCACTCACTGTCCTCCCTTCCTCTTCTACCACCTCTTGTGCATATTAGGAGTGGCTCAGATCTGATAGGGAAGGCCATTTTGTTTGTAGGGCCATTTCTGCTTGTTAAAGTTCTCTAGTTATTGTGAAGAATCTTTAAAGCAGAAGAGTCCCAGGACAAAGAGAGGGCTGATGCTAGATCTTCACAAACTTTTTCTAAAAAGGGCCAAACTATAAATATTTATACTTTGTGAGTCATGTAGCCTCACTTACAACTGTCCAAGTGTACCTTTGTAATGCAAAAGTAGCGATAATACATAAATGAATGAGTTAAGAGTTGTGTTCCAATAAAACTTTATTTATAAATATAGGTGGCAACAGGATTGGCTTCTGGGTCATAGTTTGCCTAACCCTTGACTGTAAGTCTTGACTATAATTTCCCTTCTTCCCAATCAGCACAGACCATTTCCTTGAAAGAAAGGGATGGTGGAAGTAAGGACATCCACTGGGGGGTCGTACTTTTCTTCTGATGGTGGAAGATACTGACCTCAAGGATTGATCTCTTTTCTAGAAAGCAAGCCTAATTCTTGCCTTTTCTTGACTTTATCATTGACTTGCTTCCAAGATCTGTGTAACAGAGGGAGACAAGGAAGCGGAGTGGGCTTCTGAAGGGGAAGAATGGCAAACTGGAATTAATCCAGTAGGCAAAGGAGGCCACATTTGTTATCCTCATACTCCAGATCTCCTACCTTTTGGAGGAAAAAGATGAGCAAAATGGATCCTCTTTTAAATCTTCTCTCTCCCTACTCCTTCCTTTTATCTGTTATGGGGCACTTTTTTTTTCTTCAATATTTCCTCAAACTTTTATTTATTTTTTTGAGTACCATCTTTTAATTGAAGTTTTAGTTGAGTTACAGTGTGGTGCTAATTTCAGGTGTATAGCAGAGTGATTTAGTTATAAATACATATATATTTTTATTCAGATTGTTTTCCCTTATAGGTCATTATATAAAATATTGAGTATAGTTCCCTGTGCTATACAGTAGGACTTTGTTGGTTGTATCTTTTATCTTCTATATAGAGTAGTGTAAATACGTCAGTCCCAAGCTCCTAATTTATCCCCCCTGCCTTTTCCCCTTTGGTAACTATAAATCTGTTTTCTATGTCTGTGTGTCTCTTTCTGATTCATATATACATTCATTTGTATTATTTTTTCATAGAGTCCACATATAAGTGATATCATATTT